AAATTATATTGAAAAAAGCGGTGGTCAACATCAAAGATACGGGCAATGCATGTTTCGCGTGGGCAGTGGTAGCCGCTCTGCATCCTGCTGAAAGTAATGTGAGTCTGAAATCCTCTTATCCGTATTATAAGGAAGTATTAAATTTTAAAGACATTGAGTTCCCAGTAACGTTGAGTCAAATTAAAAAGTTTGAAAATCTCAACCCAATCTCGATTAATGTCTATGCCATCGAGACGAAGGACGATCAACACACAATCCTTCCAATACGATTGACGAATCAAAAGACGGATAAACATGTTAATTTACTATACGTGGAGGATGAAAACAGCAACAATGGACATTTCACATGGATTAAGGATCTGTCCCGTCTCGTGAGCAACTGAACAAAAAAAAGAATAAGAAGTTTATTTGTAATAGGTATGTATACATTAAATAAATAAAAATTATAAAATACTTTATTTCTTAAAAAAATAATATAAATTATTTATATATTTTTATAGATGTTTGCATTATTTCGCCTCGAGCGAAAAACTGGAGGCTCACGTAGTAGATTGCAGCAAGATGAACAACTGCAAGATCAGGTTACCAAACAATGACAACAAGTGGCTCTGTTTCAACAACAACAACAGGAAGGAGCGAATGCCGTTCGTCGTGTACGCCGACCTTGAGTGCGTCCTGGAGAAGACAAACAACGAGGAAGCAACGAGCTACAAGTATCAGCATCACCGGGTATTTAGTATAGGTTATTACATTCATTGTTCGTACGACAACTCGTTGTCCAAGTATCGATTTCGGCGTGATAAGGATTGCATAGCGTGGTTCGTCGAAGAACTTAAAAATTTAGCGCACAAATTAAAATCCGCTCTGTCCGGTAACGTTCCGATGGCGGAATTGACGCGTGACGAATGCGATAAATTTAATAACGCCGCGAATTGTCACATATGCGAGAAACCGTTTGCGCCTGACGACACGCGGGTACGCGATCACTGTCATCTAACTGGTCGATTCAGAGGTCCCGCGCATTCCAATTGTAATTTAAACTACAAAGATCCGCATTACATTCCCGTAGTTTTCCACAATTTATCGGGCTATGACGCGCATATTATTATCAAAGAAATAGCTACCGCATACGATGGATACATACATTTACTTCCGGTAACAAAAGAGAAATACATTTCATTCACCAAGCATGTTAAAAGTACTGTAGAAAAAAAAAATAATCGTGAAATTTGCATACAATTACGATTCATTGACTCATACAAATTTCTCAGTTCGAGTCTCGAAAAATTGGCATCTTATTTAGCGAAAGATAAACTACGGATAATGCAACGTGAATTTTGTTATTTATCGGCTGAGCATTTCGATCTACTGACGCGAAAAGGTGTGTTTCCGTACGAGTACATTGACTGCTTCGAAAAGTTGGAGTATACACATTTACCGCCGCGCGAATCGTTTTACAGTTCGTTGACGGGCGATACCGTGTCCGAGAGCGATTACGAGCACGCGGTCAACGTATGACAGCGGTTTTCAGTCCGAACGCTCGGCGAGTACAGCGATCTGTACCTGAAAACGGACGTCTTATTGCTGGCAGATATTTTTGAAAATTTTCGCGACAGCTGCATCGCGAGTTACGGACTCGATCCCGCGCATTATTTCACGTTACCGGGTTTCACGTGGGACGCCATGCTGAAACATACTGGTATTAAATTCGAACTGCTCACGGATATCGATATGGTCATGTTCATCGAACGCGGTATACGTGGTGGCCTCAGTCAATGTTCCGGCAGATACGCGCGGTCCAACAACAAATATATGTCTTCGTACGACCCATCGAAACCATCGTCATACTTGATGTATTTCGATGTAAACAATCTGTACGGCTGGGCAATGTGTCAGCCATTGCCCTATGCAGATTTTCGATGGGTCAGCGACATAACAAATTTTGATGTTAAGGATATCGCGTTGGATTCCCCGACAGGTTATATTCTCGAGGTTGATCTAGAGTATCCGCAACATCTTCACAACAAACACGCTGACTTGCCATTTTGTCCGACGCGCGATAAACCACCCGGTAAGAGGGAAGAAAAGCTCCTCGCGACTTTGTATGATAAGAAGCGATACGTCATTCATTATCGCAATTTGCAGCAATGTACTCGTTACGGCCTTTGTATTACAAAGATTCATCGCGTATTGCAATTCGCGCAATCTCCATGGCTTCGTAAATATATTGAACTAAATACGAAATTTAGAACACAAGCCAACAACGAGTTTGAAAATAATTTATACAAATTAATGAATAACGCGGTATTTGGTAAAACCATAGAGAATGTGCGCAATTACGTCGATGTGCGACTAATAACAAAATGGGAAGATAGATTCAACGCAGAGGCAATGATCGCGAAACCAAATTTCCACAGTCGTAGCGTCTTTTCCGAGAATCTGGTCGCGATAGAAATGCATAAACTCGAGGTGAAGTTTAACAAGCCGATTTACGTGGGTATGTCTATCCTCGACATATCCAAGACATGTTTGTATGAATTTCACCACGAATATATGAGACCTTCATTTCGCGAAAAATGTAAAATAATGTACATCGACACAGATAGTCTCATATATCATCTCGAATGCGGCGATATATATGAAATTATGAAGCGTGACATAGATAAATTCGACACGAGTGATTACGCGGTCGATAATGCGTATGGTATGCCGCT